AAATTATGAAAATATACAAAATGTAAAGATGAACCTATCTTGATTTTGAAATGACATGCTTCACAAATGATAATTATATGCTATAATAATATTGGTTTTTGAGCAGTTTTCTATAAACGATTCTATAGACGATTCTATCGACGATTCTATTGACGATTCTTTTGGGCATTCCGTAAATATAATGAACTTATATACAAGACAAAAGACATCACGCTACGATAAATTATGCAGATATATCAGTTATTAATATACAAAGATAATATAATGTAAAATATTTAACGTTGTATTTATCTTACATAAATTGAAATATGCTGGAAATGATTAGACAAAATATATAATTTTAAGAGTTTCAAAGATAAAGCTGGTACTATATCTATGTAATTTACAATTCTATTAAACAATTTGTATATTGTAAATGAAACTGACTGCCCTAAACATATGATGATAATTGTTATATTTATTATTTAGAGCATGCATCCATAATCTAAATGCTATTTTTCATTTAAACAAGTAATATTGATATTATCATTTAAATGCATTTAATTTATAAAGTAATTTGTAATAATATGGTAAAATTATGTACTTATATGGGATTTTGTACAGGGTAATCCACTTTAAGCTATCACTTAACAACTGTCTCCCATGTTATAACAAAAAAAGAGTGATCATACTTATATAAAAGCACTTGAAGTCACAATCATTACCAACTTTAATACAAAGGTATAATATAAACATTTTGTAATCCCATTTGAAAATCTAGTAGTATTTATATGAATTGATCATAACGAAAAATATTCTACATTTGAATTTTTTGTTTGTAAGTAGGAGTAGATAAAGATTGGGAATCACTTTTAGGAACATTTGCTAGTCAAATATTAAGTACTATTGTAGTAATAATATATTTTTATTGCGAAAAATTGTAGTATGCGTAACTTGGAAATTAAACACGTGGTGGTATTATTCTCTTTGAAAATGATGTAGAATATTTTTATTCATATCATATAGAATTTACTATTTAATAAAAAAAAGTATGATCCAGTGAAATGAATTTTTTCTAAGTCATAAAAAATATCGGATTATTTTCAAATTTTGTAAATGTAAAGTATCTAAAATTGCACGTGTTAATTTTTAAGTTATAATCGATCATATCTAATATAAGAACTACATTTTGAATCATTTAATCGTAAAGACAAAAATATTTAAATATATTTTAATAATTATTTATGTATATATTTTTGATGCAAATCAAGTCACAATTAAACCTTTATTTTGTAATTTCAGAAAAAGATTGCTTATTAATGTAATTTTCGTATTAAGGTTTTCAATTGTATATATTGCATACTATTGTATCAAAATCATTTTTCAAACATTTTTATAATATATTTACTGTAATCCTACTTCTCTTATGTTTTATTATCATAAAAAGTATACCAAATTAGGAAAGAATTTGTATTCTTTTTCAATTTTCGATTACACTTAAATGTGCAAATGAAGAAGTCATCTATTGTACACGTAATCGAGATAACTCAGGTAGATACATATGTATATATACATATATATATATACATATACATTATAAATAAATAATAGCTTACTTTTTGGTTTCAAAGTTACGTTAATATACACAATGCTGCTATATAATGATATTATTATATGATAAATTTTAATTTTTTTTTGCAATTTTATTATGGATTAATTTTAAATAATAATGCGATGTTATTTCCTCATAATTATGAAAATTTAAATAGATGCATTTCATGCATTTAAATCTACTCAATACTGTATTTTATACAGTAATGATTCATCAAACAGCAAAACTTTTACATTAAACTGACCATTTAGGTATTATTAACAATATTCTAAGTGAAAAATAACACTTATACAATTTTGATATCAATATAAACAATTGTGAGGAGTAATATAAAAGCATATTTTGAAGAATATTGTTATTTTGCTTTTCAATTATAAAAGAATTAAGAGAACTTATTTTTCATTTTATAAAATATATCAATTTGTGAACTGTCAATCAATTATTTTCTAAAATTATAGAAATAAGTAAATTTTTAGTAATAAGTGTAATTTAATGGAGCTTATGTATCAAGTTAACACAGCTACATAATAGAATTTCATTCTGATAATAAAATTATGTCATTTATCTTAAATTTTGATAGATTAAGTATAGGAAGAACAAAATCAAATTATTATAGTGCAAGAAATAATTTCAACGCATACAATTTGTAGTAGATCAAGTTACCGAAAGAAAACTAGATAGTAGTTGAAAAATAAAGATATATGAAAAATATTTGTGTCCATTGTTTCTTCAATACTTCTATTATTACCATAATTTTCAATTAAAATTTGAACCCTTTATTCTTAAAGTTATTTCATCGACAAAATGAAAAACAAAACATTTATAACAGTATGAATGTACATTTTGCAAAGAATGCATTTTAAAGTAAATGCTACATTGGTCTTAAATATTTCACAATAGTAGATTTATTTTTAGTAATAGTATATGATATACTACAACTGCCTTTTGTAATACATATTTATAATATGAATAGTATAAATTATCTATAAATTCACTTTTCTATTGCCTTTAATACATTTCGTCGAACTTGTTACATTTAATTATTATATTTTCATTACAGATAAAACCTAGTTCACAAAAATACAATTTCGATTATTTATTTTTGTATGTAATCAGCAGTAGTATGAATAATAAAAATATTTCTTGTCAAATTCTCGATTTATTATACATTTTCGTTAACATGACTTCATTATTTCTTTTTGTTAAATAATTTCGTATCATCACAGATTCTCTTTTCTTTAATACAGAGTAAATTTTCGAGTAAAATAAAACATTTCATAAGAATGAGTATAGGCAATTATTATAAGCATGTAATAACTGTTTACCTTATAAAAAAAAAAGTAATATTACATCAATTTTTAAGAGAGGAATATAATTGAAAATTTACAAGATATTATAATCATTGTTTTATATAATTATAATACGTTTGTAAATATGATATTTTATTAATAATTTTTTTCAATAGTAATAAGTAATCGACACATTTTTTAGTTTATGAAAGAATTTCATATTTTTATAAATTTGATAGTAAATGAAACGTATAAATAGGACTTGAAAGTTGTAAAAAATAAGAAACAAATAGTCCTATAAATCCATTAATACAATATATATAAGTAATATATATATATATTATATATATTTGAACAAGTTCATTTCTATATTGTTTCAACTTGATTTTTCATATATATATATATATATATATACTCTAGATATTTTCTGGCACAAAGTCATTATACATGATAAATCTGTACAAAAATAAATAGCTGTATTTTAAGCACGATTGATAAAGACTGAATTGCATTATATATTTTGATCCTTTCATGATTCAAGCATAATCTTCCATCAAGTTAACTTGTTTTTCTTCGAATCATCAACATCCACCACATTGTAGCTCCTAATTGCACATATTTAATTTGATAAATTTTGTATATTTTAACATTTGAATATTTCTTTTAAAATTAGGAATAATAAAATACTTCATTAATATTGCCTTAAGTTAAACAAAAAGTTATTATTAATTGAAAAATTATAATAAAGTTCGTAAAGTCTTTAATAAGATGAACATTTTTTGTTATATCTAATCTAAATGCATATACTCTTCTCTCAAAAATAGCCACGATATACAATTTAATATATGCATTTAAGCGATCGTATTTATAATATAAATAATCTAAGTTTACTCTATATATACTATCATGATTCACATTAGTTTTTTTTTTATCGTATATTCTTTGTTAATACTATTAACTAGATTAAAAAATGTTGTTGCTTTCTGTTCCTTCACAATTCTTGCTTCTTGAGAGAGGTATATTTGTTATCTAAAACAATATCGGCACAATTCTGTGCATTTAAAAGCTTAAATAATCTAACGTAAACATACATACACGCGTACGTAATTCTTACGCATATGTGTATATATATATATATATATATATATATATATATATATATAATATGAACTACATAAATAATTTTACAGAGTTTTGTACATTAGTATATTGAAATATTAATTATTTCTTTGGCTTAAAAGCGCTTATAATTTTTTACAAAAAAATTATCTATAAGCTGTATATAAATAAATGAGCAATTGTACATACTCATCATACATATCTCTTTTTGTATAGGATCTTCCAATATTATAATTGTCTTCATAAATTTTTATATGTAGCCGTTCGTAATAATTAATTTTTTTTTACAGATTTAAGGCTTTTCAATATCTATAAAGGTTTAATTTAAGACACACAGTATCATCGTAATCGAATTTTTAACTTGAATATTTCCCCACAATATATTATTTAAATATCTTATTAAAAATGAACAAAAAAAACTACAATTTTTATGAGGAGAATGTAATGTTCAATCTACTTTTCGATTTAGTTTGAAAATGGAAATAGTTCAATACTACGATTACATTGAATATTAGAATAATGCATATTCTATTTAACAGTATTATGTAATTCTGCAAATACGTTTTCTATAAGCGTATTATATATATTATTACACAGGCCAGATATTTTATATGTCCTACATAAAATCTTCTAAAATATTGCTATTGCATAAAATCTCTTTGTAAAATGAAATATTTTTCTCATATACTACTACTATATCTTACTGTATATATATTTATATACATACACAGCGTGAGAAATAAACAAATAAGATTCTATTTGAAGAATACTTTATCAAAATTATATATTCTTCCTTTTTATGTGTATATATATATATGGACTAGATTAGTATTAGCGCTTACAATACTGTAATTCTACTTACTATTATTTATCTTCTTTTTTTAATAAATTATTAATTAATTGTTTTCCTAATATAAGATCTTTTTATATTAATGAATATGATTTATAACGTCTAAGAATTATAAGTTTGCTGCTATTAATATACTTTGAAGCAACTGTTCTTCTTTCATCAAATTTTTCAATCATTAAATTTAACATCATACAGTCTTACGACATAAGCAGGCACCCCAATTTCTATTTGTTCAATGTGATAGCATATCTTCTTTAACTATTACTATTTAAAAAGAATAATTTTATGTGTTAGTCTTGTTAAAGTTAACAAACAGTATAATTATTAAAACTAAGTACTTTGAAAGATAAAAAATAAATGTTATACTCATACGTTAAAATAATGCATCATAATGTTACTGAAAATTAAATTTAAAAAAATTATGTCATTTTAAAAATATATCTTAATTGCATTATAGATAAAAAATATTTTCCTGCTTATGAAAGTATTATGCTAAATTTGAAAAATATTTTCTCCTTATATGTTTTACGTACAAATTTATGTTTACAGACGCAAGTATACATGTCTTCACTAACTATCAGAAATAATAAAAAATAATACATATTGGATATGTACACATTTGTTATTTTTTTTTTTTTTTTATAAATCGTTATAAGAAAAAAAAAGCAAAAATAATGCATAGATTACTCTTTGACTGCATAAAAATACTACTATATATATATATCTATTGCAAGTGACATCTAGACATTTGCTATAAAATAAATATTTGTCTAAGGAATTTGCATAAAATTATAAAGCTACACAATAATGTTATTTTTTTTTTTTTTTTCAGTGAAATTAATGTGAAATTTAGTATGAATATATCTTATTCAAAGAGTTATTTTGATTGAATATTTTGATGATGAAAATAGGATATTAGTAGGTAGAAATTTGTGTGTGTGCATTATATGAAATGCTTTTGAGGTCCCTAATTATAACTATGCAATAGATTTTACATTTTTTTCTTGACTAAACGTACTGGTAATTTACTATCTCTACTTCTTGGACTTCCAGTTGTATTACTTGGTGTATTGCGTGAAAGTACAAGTATACGACGTATTTTATTGAGCTGTTCATTACTCAAACTTCTTGTTAAATGTCTTTCGGTAGTAGAACTGGGAACATCTTCAATTTCTTCACTATTAAATCTGATTATGGATCCTAAACAAACGGGACTGGAAGCCCTAGTAGCTGGTGCTGTTCTACTACCTGATACTACAACATCTCTTAGGGGAATTTTACTAACTCCCTGATTATGATTTACATCCAAAGTCGAATATCGCCTTAAATTTCGACCGAAATAATCTGTCATATCTAGACTATGTCGTTTGAACTTTAGTTTAGAGTCCTTAGAATAATCTGGATGCTTCAAACCAGAATTCATAGAATGTCGTTTAAGATTTTCTATTCCATATTTAGGTTGGGTAATTTTTGTTTTATCTTTGTCTAATATTAAAGAATTTCTCTTCACTTTGTCGTCTACGGATCTTCCTTGATTTGCGTCAAATCCAAATCTTAGTTTATTACGACGAAATACTGAATATCTTTCAGTTCTGGATTCCGAATTAACGATCAATTGATCATTGGAATTTTCCTTTAACATATTTCGGTGCCTTAAACCTTCTTCATAATCCATAGAACGTATAGTTTTCAATTGATCAGCTGTATTTGCGATGTGTTTGGTATGGTCCTCATATTCAATGGAAGAATGTCTTTTAGATTCTATTCCTTTATAACTTGCACTACTGCTTCTCCAAGCTTGTTCACAGTCTCTTCTAAGTCTGGTAATGGCTACTTCTAAATTTTCCATTGGACACTTTGGTGTATTTTTGGGCGAAGAAAGTTTTGGTATTCTAATACCTGCATCCACTAGGAACTCGTTGTCTGACAGCGTTACAGGTCTCTCATGCACAGAACTAGAAGCCCAACAAGAGTTATTATAATTCATGGGAAAGTTTGTAATGACTGGGGTTTTATCACCGACAACAATGTTAGTAGAAGCTTTTTGCGAGTAAGGATCTGCAGATAGGATATTTTTGAGAATATCTTGCTTTAGTTCACTTCTAGGATACGAGTGTTGCGGACTTATATTGTAACATGTACAATATTGAGATATAAATTCCTTATGTTCAAGATCACATATATGTGGCCATCTAAATAAAGAGGATACATTAATGCTTGAAGAGGATTGACCCATTCTTTCCAGATATTGTATCAGGTGCATTTTGTTAGACCAATCTCTTGTTAAGTTGTTGCTAGAAATACTAGAAGCACACGAATGCTACCATATAGATCTTGTTTTTACTTAATTAACTAACTAATGTTGGATAATACGCGTCTCGATATCAAAAATATTGTATAAATCAGGTATATCATATATATATATACCAATGACAGATAGATTAAAGTACTTTTTTCAGCATGCGAAAAGCCTGTTATTTGATAAGTACGTCTAAATTTAGTAAAGTAAGTCTAAATTTCATTTTTAAGATAGCTTTTTCATCAATAATTTACATATCAATCTTATTAAAACAAAGTACTAAGTATTAGAAAATAAAAATAAACAATTAAATATATAGTCATGTATTTACCTGCTTTTTAAAGCTTCCGTTGTATGTCGAGGAGTTGTAATATCTATAAGTAAGAAAAGAAAAAAAGATAATTTATAATTTAAAGTAATAACACACAAGTAATAATAAATAATGAAACTTACGTTTTACTGGAGGCGATTTAGTTACATTATGCATTTTAATTTGCGAAGACTGTTCTATTTTCATTCGAGGCTGTGGTCTGAAATATTACGTTTAAGAATTTAATAATATTATGATTAATGAAATGAATACATTGTTTTCTTTTTATTATATAGAAAATTTAACTTACAATGTCTTTGCTGTTCCTTCTATATTTAATCGTCCTCGCGCAGCTAAAATCAATATACATAAAAAATCATTTAATTCTTAAAATAATGTGATATTTTATTTGATCAGAATGAACTCTCTTACAAGGATTGATAGTTCTTTTTGAAGTTGTTCCAACAGATACAGGAGACTTTCCGGTTCCCGTATATAATAATCTTTTTTCTTCGTCAAATTTTCTACCATCTTCTACATCTTGTTTAGTCATTTTACTAATACCCTAAAATCAAATTACATTATTAAAATATCAATTTCTATTTTAATCTCAACTCAGTTAATTTGTACAAATGCCACTTACACTCTGCCTCTCATATTTGACCTCCGTTTGTTCTAACTTCTGAACAACGTTCGTTAACATATCTACTACATCTTTATCCTTTTCACTGTTCAGTAAATGTCTGACTGTTGCTTCTAATGCTGTTAATAATTTTTTATCCGTAGGTATCACAAGTTGACTCTTTAAAAAGGGTAATAAAGATACTACTTTTAATCTGATGTTAGCCACAGGATCCTCGGCAAGATTTAATAAAACAGTAAAAAAATGCTCTTTAAAATAAGCTGAAGGAAATATATAAAATAATGCTTCGACCATCATACGGACGAATATCATTCTCACATAACAATCGGGATTACTAGCTAGTTCGACATAGATTTTGTTCCTAAATTCTGCCTTTTGCATAAACTTATTATTATACCGTAGAAAGACAAGAAGCAATCTTCCAGCAGCAAGACGCACTGGTAATGGTCTCTGAAATTTTAACAAAATTGAAATTACTTTAATATTTCAATCTTTTTAACAAAATAATTTCACTAAGTACTTTCTACTTACTGCATTTAAGATTCTGAATGAAATCAATGGTACAAAATAAGAATATATAATGTCACTGGGAAAACATTTAGGTAATATTTCAAGTTGTGCATGCATAGTAGAAGCCAGTCTCCAATTATGTGTAGATGCAATTTCTGCTTCACATATTAACAAAGCTTTCAGTACTTCCATCAAATTAGAATCCTATATACCAAGTAATAATATATGAATTTGATTAATATATTTTGAAATTTATTCTACTTAATTATGAATTTATTTTTACCACTCTATCTGGTCCAATGGTTTTACTTTGAACTAAACATTCAAGCGTTGATGATATGTTTGGAACTAATTTTTGTAGTACCTCCTCTGGATCGTCTTTTAACAATTTAATGAAATCACCTTTGATCTTGCCATTTTTCATTCCTAATATTTTTGCTACCTAATTGTTAAATTATATAGAAAATTATCTATTACAATATATTGATTTTTATTTTGAAAATTAATTTTCTATAACTTACCTCATGAATTCCACTCGCGACTGTTCTTCTAATTATATAATAAGAATCATTGGTTAAAGCACTAAAAGTGGAAAGTAAGGAGTCTGTGTCCTCAACAGAAGGTGATATAAAGATGAACATAGCAGGAAGATTAAACGCGGAACATCGTCGGCATTCCAAGCATTTTTCATAATCGACAGAATTACTCTCGAGCTAAAAAATTATATGATAGTTCATTTATTTGAAATATTGATCAATTTCATGACTATAATACTCACTATAGGAAGATCTGGTTTAGTTTGTTTTTTCACAGATGGTATACCCATTTGTGCAAGCTGTTGAAAATACTTCAAGAACCATGTCTTGTCTGCAGGTGATAGGTACTCTAAAATTATAATGTTTTATAGAATATGATAGAACTTAAATCTTGTTTACAGGATCTTTTGATTTTTAAATTCTTACTTTCTAAACCAAGAACAAGTTTCCCAAATTCCTGAGCAATAATACAAATCACATTATCATCCGATTTAACAGCATTTTCACACAACTTTTTGATAAGTGGATCTATGATGGTTTTGATTGTATCTGTAAACGACGAATTCCTATATAATCACAGTTGAAATTTAAACAAAATTGTATATGGTGAATGAATCATTGAAATATTGAGTCGTGTTATGTAATATTACATATCCTACCTTCTTGAAAATGAGGTAACAGGTATACTATTGTCTGCACAGATGCGTACCGTACATTGCTTTCCTCATCCCTTGCTAATTCTACAAGAGATGGTAGCAGGGCAGGTTTTAAAGACTCAGCACCAAGACCCTCGGCAACAAAACGTAGCTGCAAGCAAATACTAGCTCGTACTTCACTATTCACATCTTGACAAAGGGACTGTACTGTTGGTAGAACTTCTTTTTGTATCCTAACAATAATTTTGTTGGTAAGAGTAAAGCAACATTTAACAATTCTTTTTTCTTTTCTATGTAGAAGAGTTAGAGAAAATTTAAACAAAAAAAAAAAAATTACTTTGTTGTAGATGCAAATCGACGCAAGACAAAACGTTGATTAATTCTAACTAAAATGTATACTCACATATCGGCATTAAATCGTGTACAAATTTTTCCTAACAGCCTGCTGCACATCATTCTGGAATAAATTGGTTGTGATAATTGCCCTTTACTTACAGCCATTGGAAGAATCTGTATTTCGACATATAAATTTATTATTTTCTATTTGATATATAACAAATAATATAATGTAATATATAACATATATGTAAACCTGTGTTCTTATGACATCTATTGGCAGTAATTCTATCACATCCAGTAAGGTCTCCAGCCATGCATGATAGATCACTTTGAACAAACATATAAGTTTTCTATTAATTGACTCTTAATACTAATTTCTGTGTTTGATATTGGTAATCATTATACCTGGATCACGACTTTCAAGCGAATTTATTATAGTTTGTAGGAATGTCTGACTAAAGATACTGTGGCTGACAAGATTCTGTTCTAATATAGTTTTGAATGTTGATGAAGCAGCAATATGAAATTCTGTACAAGCAGTAGCAAGAGCCTGCTGCATTTTGGGAACTACTCGTGACATACATGACTGTGCGTCTGTAGCTAGAAGATTTGGTAAACTTTGTATAACGCTAAGCTTTTGGATTTCCTCTCCTTTCCTGTAAAATAAAACGAAACAATTTATACATTTTTTTTTTTTTAAAGTGGATGTATAAATAAAAATAACAATATTTACAAAGTATATTTTTACTATTATAGTACATTTTATGACCCAATTAAAATTTGCCTACTTGAATATTTCATCAGTGTGATCATTATCAAGATTTTTAATCAACGATAAAAGGAATTTTTCAATTACATTTCAACTGTTTATGTACATAAGGTAATATTTGTACAAAGTACACTTCCTTTAAGGAATTTAATTAGAGACATTGATACGACAGGACTGTGCGCTCCTTGAGCGATGATGTATATATTTATAGAATTGTGCAGCGGGAAAAAATAGTAAAAAGGAAATGGACGAAGATACAAACACCACACAGCTATCATCGATCAACGGAAGACAAGTTTGGAAGATGAAAAGTGTGTCGGTGCAGGTAAGAGAGTACTTACGGATCGGACGTGCTCTCGCTCGTCGGAGATTCATCTTCGTCCTGCCACATTTTTAAAAGTTAACTTTATTATTCATCGATGTCACAAGAAACGTAAAAGCATTGTTCGTTGTTGCTGATATGTGACCATGAGATTATTGTACATACGTCTTTCATGACGGTATGCGTTTTTCGTAAATCAAAGTGAAAAATAATGGATATGAATCGATCAAACAAACGAAACGAATTAAAGCAAACTAATGAACGAAAATAAAAACAACTAATAATTTGAACGTTCGTAATAATATAAACAGCACTGTGCAGTATTCGGCCGTGATGAGCCGCACTACCTCCTCTTTCGTTGCATCGGACACTTCTGTCGCGCCGACTCGCGAGGAAACTCGAATGCAACCGATTGTAACCGAGTGTAATCGAATGTAACCGAATCTTATCGAAGTCATCCGCGTAAATAATTATCTGTAGATAGAATGGTGTGACAGATTCTTCCTTCTCTCCCTCCTCCCCCACCACCTCATTCACCTCCTTTTTCTTCTAACAATAAGTGGGAGAGAACTTACGTAATAAGAGATAACGACTACTACCAATTAAACTTTTCCTTCTAATTTTATCGATTACTTTTTTTTTCCCACCAGATAATTTAACTAATTTACATTTGCAATATTTATTGATTAATTATTTCATCTTTCAAAATTCTAGTGTTGTTATGTATCGATTGAAGTCAAGATACATGTGTAGATAATGATGATGTGTGACTAGTAGTATGACTCATTTGAATTTATTTTTTTTTTATCTGAAATGCGTAGAATTGAATGCTTGCACAATTAATAATCCTTGCAATATTATTCAACTTGTGTAATCCTTCGAGGAAGTGCGATTCAATTATCTTATACGAAGATTTGTCTTCTTTACATCTGCTTTATCTTAACGAGATAAATGAATATCTTTTTTAAGTGTATGTACTATATGTATACTTACGTCAGAATATGTAGTGCTCTTTCTATAGGCTTCTTTTCTAAATTAGTATCTAGAGAATGTTTTTTCAATTGTTCTTCATCCTAATGAATAAGAGAATAAGAGGAGAATTCTTATCAAAATATTTCATAATTAATGTATATAGAAAAATAAAAATGAACACATACACGTGTGTCAGGTACAGGTTTATCCAGTTGAAGGCTCGCGAATTCTTCTAAATCCATGTTCATTATTGATACTCACGTCCTACGCACGAGATTAACATTCTATTTACTTAATTTACTTATTCAAATAACCAACCATTTTCTCATAAGTAGCATACATTAAAGACGAAATAATATGTGATATATAAAACAATGTCAATTTGAGCTATATTCAGAGATACTAAAAGTCAACAACAAATCCTATCTAAATAAATATGTATGTAGAACGGATATCGTTTAACTCAGGGGTCGGCAACCTTTTGAGTCGGAAGAGCCGAAAATTACAATTTACAAAATTTCAAAGTTTTTAAAGAGCCACCAAATTTTTTCTTGCTAACAATAAATAGTATTCGCATAAATAAAGCTTTTTGATAAAAAAAAAAAAAAAAAAAACTAATCTATTTATTCATCGGTGCCTAACTAATCCTCGTTAATCGATTCAGAACGATTTTTAAATGTATTTTTTTTTTTTTTAACTAAACTTTTAACTAAAGAGCCGCAGCTTCACATTCAAAAAACCGCATATGGCTCGCGAGCCGCAGGTTGCCGACCCCTGGTCTAACTCAATTTTTTCTTAATGGATTATTTGAAGGATATCGTCAATCAAGCGGGACATAATTAATTTTCAACGATAAATTTATAAAATACGAAATATATTTTTACTCTTTTCGCTAGATGTATGTATATAATTTAGATAATTATACATATATCTTACGAGCATCAGACGTAATAAAAATGTAATTATTATAAATGTTCTACTGTTTACATGAATATATACACAGAGTAAAGATTTAGATGGACCTAAAATATTCTGATGAGATTTGATACTTTCTTTTTATCACTAAAATTATCGCACACTTTTATCCAAAAATAAAGCATTCTACTTCTCTACATAATCTACATTTTATAAAACAATTACAATTAATGAAACTTATCAATGTTATGACTATTATATAAAAAGTATGATTGGTCACGGTTTTCATTTAGGAATTATAAGAATTGTAGAAAATTAAAATTGAAATAATATTCAACGAAAGAGAGAAATAGAGACAGAGAGAGAGATAGAATAAAAAAAAAGAAAGATACCGTTACACCTGAGTCGAAATAATAGATATCATTTAATATGAATGGTATATGTATTGCATTTTCGATATGAATTTATATAAATATATATATTTATATAAAAGAATTGTGCGTTTGGTCACGATAATGTTCACTAAAGAATTGTATAATACGAAGAAAAGTTAGAAGCTTCGCGATACGATTATGCGATAAAATAATAATTACAGACTTACAATCCGTCTAACGTATCATAAAGTTTTCTTATAGACTGACGATCTGTACATGGGAAGACATCGTTTTATTCTTGTCAATGATATACTTACAAAATATATTTCCGTTAGAAAATAAAAAAAAAAAATAATATTACAAACATTATCTCGCGAGCTTCGTCTGCATATAATTTGTGTGTTTATATATGTGTTCAATAAGTCCAATTAATTTACGGCTATGGAAGCACCTTGAATCTTTAATAATAATAATAATAAAAAAGAAATAAAATTTTGTTTGTAAGGAATATCAACGTTTTTCATTGCTTTTCCATTAATATAAAATTTGGATATAATGATATTCCTTTTGTAAGAAGAAAAGAGAGCGTAACCTATTTATCCAATAAAACGCAATTGGATAATTTACATCTAGCATATCCTCTTTTACCGCGTGTTTCCCGATTTGGACTAGCTTCAGTCACGGTGAAGAGTAAGACATATAAGATACATGTCAAATTATAAGTGTCAATTTTACAGTTTGATAAAATTAATAGGAAAAAATGAAATCGAATGTAATACATACATGTACGATTAGAAATAAACTATAAACATAAGGATATATAATTTGAATCTTTCATTGTTTTCCCTTTGAAAGAAAATGAATTTGATGTGTCTGTAAAATTTCTTACTTATAATTTCAATAAACGCTATTTGAAAACGAAATTTGTATCTTAAAATTATTCATCAAGAGAGCAGTTCCTGAATAATTTTTCTTTTCAAACATAACTTTCATCATCAACAACAGATCTTCCATATCCTATATGCCTGGTGGTTATAGGTGCACGTGGCTGAGGTGGTGGTCGATAGGGAGGAGGTGGTGGAAGAGACCTAGATCTACCGGCAACTTTGTGTCTATCCTCAAGATTCATGTGAACCGGTGGCAAATGCCTGAGTCTTGGTGGCAAAGGTGGCGGTGTATCTGGCCAAATTCTTTCCTCATCTTCATCTTCATCACCGTACAAATCGATAGCCTCGGCTTGTTTAAACGAGTAAAGATCGTTTCTTTCTCGGGATGGTCCATAAAGTTCGTTCACTCTCTCCCTATTACCATAAATACTACTGTCCGACTCGTATCTTTCGGTACGAGTACTCTCCTTATTTACGTAAATTTCGCTTTTAACTTTTTTGAACTCGTAGAGATCGCCGTTTGAATGATAGCTGCCGTTATGCGAAACTGGCGAATCACGATTTCCGTAAATTTCCGAGTTGACTTTTTTAAATTCGCTAAAATGCTCTTTCTTGAATTCATAACGTTCGTTCGATAAGGACGTGTCGCTTGACACTAGATCTTGGTCGGAAACTCTCTCTTTACAGATCTCCTGTTGCGACGTTCTTTCGTATTCGGTTCTAAGTTCACGCGACATGTCCAATTGAGAAGTCCTATAAATATCCTTACAATTTTCTACATTCTCTTTCATGGAATCTTGCCTGAGGTATTCCCTACCGTATATGTCTTTTTCGTCGTATCTCTCTTTACGGTGTTCGTGCTCATCTAACTTCGACCTCGGTGTTCTTTTCAACTGAGCTCTTAACCAATCCTGTCGTTGAAAGTTTGGATTTGGATAACCCACGTTATTCCTTTCTTCTCTGAAAACATGTTCTACGTTATTCGTATGATGATGACCACCACCATTTGCCGCATAGTTCATTCTTTCTTCCCAGCCATTATAAACACGGATATAAGTTTTCCCGTAAGATTTGTTATCTTCTTTCAATAAAGGCTTGTCGTAGCTCGATGATGTTGCATTTACAGCAGAATCTTCCGAACCGACTGGTGATTCCGGAATAAACAGCTGGCAATCTGATAATGTCAAGCCCGAATCACGAGAAAGGGACATGTGATCCTTACGTGGAGGTTCCGTTAAATCCAGACTGTCCAAAGAAAGCCCACCTGCTACAACAGAACACATTTTAACGATGTAAATTGAATTTTCATTACAAAGTGTAAATTGTGTTATAAGAATGACATTACTATAATCAATATTTCTAATGAGATGAGAATTGTGAAATTACGTACGCTCCAAATTTTCGGTAGTATTAAATATATAAATGAGAATGAGCGATAGCCAAATATTCTTTCATTTAACATTGAAAAGAATAAAGTGAGTGAACTCACAGTGAAGGCTGTCGGTGCTTTCTTCAGCTCCGCTATCGCTACGTTCTTCACCAAAAAGCTGCGTGACACCTTCGCCGAACAAAACCTCGCAATGACGAATTAGCATCTCCGTTAGCGTAGGAATCGCTCTACTTTGATTTACGGAGGGGTTTTGCGACCAGAGGAGGCTCGGACCACAGCAAACACCGAGATTACTAGCGCACATTAAATTGTGTTTCGATCTCCTCGCTATGTGATGCAAGACGCATATCAAATGCGAGAGCAATGTATAATTTGCTTTGGGCAACCTATCGAGAGTACTAAACAAACAAAATTCAATGATATCATTTGTTGAACAATTTAACCATTCAAAATGTTACTTAATATTTACTTTTTAATAGTGTGAACAGGATTTGGTGTTTCCAGACTGTCCATCCATAGAGGAAATAGATGAGAAGTTAAAAGTGGATCGGGTAAAGATCGTAGAAAATCCTTTAACAAAGCTGCCACAGCTATGATCGGCGCAGCTTCCAAACAACTTAGATCACCGGTAGACTCGATTTGATCACGTAACTCTCGAACGATTCGTACATTAGCAGACTTTCGGAAGATACCTTGCGTGAATGGTCCTTTCGCGAAGAGTTGTTGAAGCATCACCAAGACGGGCTTTGGTAATCCGTTTTCGTCCAATCTAGATAGATTGACACCAAAAATGCTGGGATTTAAAGAAAGCGATCTCCTTAACAGACCCGTAATCTTCGACTTGTTCTTTTTTATTGGTGACTTTGATACAGGTCGAAGAATGAAATGACAAGTGTCATGACCAGATTTGTTGCAATGTTCCAAGTCGAAACCTTCCTCGGCCGATAAAGTGTGTCGTAGATTAGACATTTTCACAGCGAACGGTCTTTCGTGGCCGATCAAAGGATAGGGCGCCTCGTCCGACGACGTTCTGGCCCAAAGTTGAAACGGTCCTTGTAGATCCAATAATCTAGTCGCCAAATTCACGCAAGTTGTCGCCGTCATTTCGGATCCAAC